AGCTGAACTGTCGCTGACGGCATTCATTTTAAAAAAATCTTTGTCCAAACTTTCCTTCTGTTTACCACATTATTGTTTTCTATGAAGCGTGTTTGTATAATAAGCTCAAACGCAACTCCCATTTCTTTTCGTGCAAGATTGTTGAAGCAAAACGTCTGAATAAGTTTTAATCGACGAACTTAATTCGTTTTTTCGCGAAAGAGATCTTACATGGTTTTTGTGTATTTCTCGGATGACATCTTGTCACACCAACTTAAGAAATGAAGGTAGGCAACTATGCTATTATGTTCCTGAAACCCTTCATAATATCACTGAAAGGTTTTGCACTAAACGTCAATTAAGCACAACAATCGTGAATTATAACTACCGTTGGTTTCAATTTTAAAACCGCAAAACTGTTTTATCGTGGTCAACTGTATCCAAATCATTTTCCGTCTGAACAAAACTAAAAACTACACTTGTAAACAAGTTAAAACATATGTCTTCCTTTTTTAATCTATCTATTTATTTTCATTACCTTTATTATTTTCAGGTATTATGAAACTTAAGAACCGACACGTTACCAGAGTTCAGTTTGAATGAGAGGGCCCACTAGAAGCTACCGATAATATCATCTTATTTCCGGTTGGATTTCACTTGGGGTTACAGGATGTTCCAATACCGAGATATTTATATTTAACCAGTCACTATTTACTTAAAATTTCCATAGAATAACCACAAAATGTATTGAACTGCGCAAAAACTACATAAAAAATTGCAAACTCAGCATTTAGCCAGTTGTTTTTATGTGATAAAACTCAAGAGCTGACGTTGTCGAGTTCCATTGTTTTGTTATTAGAGAAATGAATACTTGCCTCTTGACTTGCATCTCTCTGGTTTGAAGCGGCCGAGGGCTGCAGGATGCCCCGATACCAACATATTGATGTTCCATCATTCATTTCTTAATTAATTTTTTTAAATTCATTATCTTCCCTATTTCTAAAGCATAACCAAGAGAAGTAGTAAAGCTTGTACTTACTCAGCGCACAGCGTAAAGACAGGGCTGTGGACAGTTTGCTAGATTGAATCCCACTCATCGCACCATCCATCAACTAACTCAATCACAAGTTGCCGTTAGTATATGTCGACACCCTTATAATGGTCCGTGACTTAATAAAATCACAAGAGCGGCAGATTTCAGATAGCGGCTTTCAAACTATTTTGTAGGACGTGAGTGTAATAGACATCACATACGACAACTTTTTGCTGACATAAGCCGCGAAAGTTCTATTTTTACACTCGTAAACGGACCAATGAGACTAAAAGCTCTTTGTAACAGATGCAGAATGCTGTTTATTTAACAAATACAAGTGATTCACGACACGGAAATCGATTTATCAAGCTAAAGTTTTGTTAACGTGAAGATAAAAATGGGTGTTTAAAAAAATTGTAAACAACTCAAAACTAATCAGGATCCTCTTTTATAGGTAGTTGTTGTTTGGAAATAAATGTTATGTCCACCGGGAACTAGCGCAAATATGCCATCTGTTCATCTACGTGCACCCGAACAGAGATAACTGTCATCTATCCATCAAAAGATAAAAGTGCGTGTCTTAGGCCCGTATAATATTGACTTCGCCGGCAGGAATAATTCAGTGATAAATTCGCGCTAGTGTAAGAATGCAAATGAACTATAGAATTTCTCAGGTTAAAAAATATATATAAATATATATTCTCCGTTTGGCTAGATCACCTCTTCGATATGAGTTTTCGTGAGTCTTTGAAGTTGATCATCAACATTAACGGATCAGAAAACTAAGGGCGGTTAGTGGGAAATAGTTGAGCCTTAAATCTGCATCAGTTCCTTTCTCTCGCTAAATAACTTCTTCTTTAGTGCACATCGTGTAGTTCATATCTTTGCAGTATGATTACGTTGAGCTGCCAGAGAAAAACCCTACCTATTTTCCCAGCTACATGCGCATGTGCTGGAAACTAAATTCGTTAGAAAAGAAACTTTACGTTGCACGTGGCTCAACAACACGGGCAAGAATTGTAAAATATTACGTTATTAAAGTTGTTGTTTCTCGAAGATGGCTCGAAGATGTTCTTCACTAAATGAATATTAAATAAACTTCAGGTTGGTATTCCACAAACGTGTACACAAAATTATCCAAACATAAATTGTGTGACTCGAATATGTGCCATTTTTCTGACCAAAACAAAAAGGATAATGGAGAAAGGATGATGGTAAGAAAAAAGAAATTGCCTTTTCGGGCGACATTTTCTCAAGGATATGAAAAAATATAATAATAGTAATAATGATAAGCTTGATAATAATATTGATAGGTATGATGATGATGATGATAATGAAAATGATAATTATGATAATAATAGTAATAAAAGCCGTTTCCAGGTAAAAAGCGCACGTTTTACACGATTTTGTTTGTATAGTAAATATTGCGATTGGAATTACGAAGTTTCTGTTCAATTATCTTCTCTTTCTTAAATTACTTTTTATTCCAGCCTTGAAAAAGCTCGTATTAGTTGCAACATATGTTACGCCGACAAACCTCTCTAAGGTGTTCAACGGAAAGGAGATGTGAGGCCCTTAGATGAATGTTTATCCGAATGATATAGTCCTTTTTATTTAATTTCTATATCGCAAGAGATCAACAAGCTTTGAGCTTGCTTGCCATCGCACAGAATGCGGCGACACATGGTCTCGCGCGCTTCGACAAGTTAATTCGAAAGTAGTTATCATCAACTAAATGGATTGAACAAAACTATACCTTTTTGTAATCAAGACGGATCCAAATACGAATAATTAGCTTGTTCCCTCAGGCGTAAACCTGTTTTAGGCGGGCGCTTGACTGTTTGTTTTTCTCTCGATGTTTTTGTAATCCCTTAGTTCTTATACGACTGTGAATATATGAAAGTCATATAGTTTACATATGAAAGTCATATTTACCCCTTTATTCTTCTACTCTTTTTGGAAACAAGGAAGATTAACTTCTATGTAGTTATTAAGTCATAAAAAATAATAATAAAAAAATAATCAGCGGAGTATAACAGTGCATATGTGAAGTAAAACGAGTGAGTCAGGTATCGCACTGCTAAGAATGATCTCAAATGATTGAGCCATTTTTTTGCGCTGTTTATTCTCTTTTACAGGGCCCCACGCAAGAGTAAGTTAGCCATCTGAGTAAGTTAGCGTAAAAAAATTCACCAGATCACAGGTAAGTCGCTGATTAAGCACTGCTATTTATAACCCCCTACTGCCACATTTGGCACTCGAAAAAAGGTAAAAGGAAAAAAAAAAAGGCCGCCTTATCGCAGGTTATAAAACGCCTGTTCGACATGAAACTATTTCGATAATTCACGTAACGTTTTCACCGACAGGAGTTTGTTAGTCGTCTATTGAGTCAAATTAAAATATCGCTGTTCACGAGAATTGGAAAAACGCTTTAATAACAATGCGGCTCGCCTTTAATTAGTGCGCTATGGTTAACTCTATCACACCTTGGGATTTACTTCACGCGCATAACCGTTTGATTGACAGCAGCTGAAATCTGCAAGTGACTCAAGTATTCCTAAAGCTAAATCTGTTGACCAGTCACCGCTGCGTAGACATACCAATTGATATTCCGTTCGATGATAAAGTGGGCAGTGTAAGTACATGTCGCGAAAGACAATAGCATGCAAGGCCACCAAAAGTTGAAATACCCTTTAAGTTTTCTGTAACTTTTATAGCTTCTTCCTTTGCGAAAGTTTTTGAACTAGCGAAATTATTCAACTCTGTACTGAAAGTAATATGTAACCAAAATGATCAGAACTGGAATAACATGCCAAATAAACAAGGTTCAGTTGGTTTTACGAGTACTTGACAACCAAGAACGTGCTCGCGAAAGCTAATTGGGGAAAATGTGACTGAGAAGCAATCACTTCCCCAAGAAGCGCCATTTACCTTACCACGGACGTGAAGAGTCGGAAGGGTCTCGCCATGGTGGCGGCTTACAGTGTTTGAGCCCTTTGTTGACATTAATGAAATCAGTTAAGTTCTCGAGGACGTGTGGAATGCTCCTAATCGGGATCAGTCATTTTTTAACGCTTACTAGGGGGGAGGGGTATTAGGGCGGGATCCCATGGGGAAGGGGGGAGGGGAATCGTACGTCACCAACAAAGTACAAAGGGAGGACTAGAGAATTTGAGATAAAAGCCGCTGCGCAATTTGTCGACGCTGAACGATTATGTGGCTAGTCGTGTTCAAATCAATCTGCATCGTACCCAAATTAAAAAAAATAAAATAAAATAAAAGATCGAAAAATGCGCGAAACCAAACCTATTCTACCATTATGACATTATTCCAGTGTCTTTTTTCGTGGAAACTTAAACAAGCACGAGGGAGGGGGGGTGAGGGTGGGAGGGAGTAGAGTGAGTGATTACGCTCGAGACCAGCAAAATTCCAATCCTCTATACATATATACATAACTTTATTTCCGTTGGAATTTCAGAGTAGCATAGTGGTGCTAGTTTCTCCGAAGAAAGAAACTGTCTAAGTGAGTAAATAAGTAAGTTTCATTCATTGAAAACATTAATTCAATTTCGTAATTAAATTGCAATAAATAAAACCAATAAAATATATTAAAAAAAGATAAGTAAAGTTACTTGTTGCTTAACAATAAAATGATCAATAGTATTCACAGCAAGTATTACGAAAGTCTCAAATACAAATGTCACTTTTAAAATCTTTCAAATCATCGAGGCTCGAACATATTCGTCTACATCGTTACATCTTTTTGCAGCAAAATATTGCAGGCGGAATATATAACATAACAATACTTAACTTTCCTAGTGTTACTCTGTTTTCAATGATATGAAGGAGTTTATATTTTTTCGTTGTTGAATACGAACCATATTTATATACAATCAATAGGCTCCAAAGAAAAGTTAAATAGAGGTTCTTCCTCTGAGATCAGAGATAATGTGAAATAAATAACTTTCTGAGTTTTTTTCCTGTTTTTTGTTACTTGCCACAATGACACGACAAGCTGGGGAATCCCTGCTGTTGCTTTGTGTGTGCGAGATGATTTACGCTTAACTATCTGTTAATTTAATTGATTTTCGATGAGGTGTTTTACTTCCTTTCACCTTTTCTTTTGACTCTTTCTCAACCTAGTGGTTATGAGCCTCTGCTGTTTTTAATAAATAATCAAATTCTTCGTCTTCCGTTGTGAAACCTGAAACAATACTCTCCAGCCGCTGTAACAGGTCATGCTGTCTCCTCCGTAATTTACGGAGGGAAGATTCGACGACATCCTCTAGAAATCTTACTTTCTTTTTTTCTCTACGTTTGCTGCAGTCGTCATTGCTTTTACTTTTCAGAGATTTTAACATGTTGCTTATCTTGTCGAACAATGCTTGTCTCCCTGTACTGCATTGCTGTTTATCTATTGTTTCTCTAGATCTTTTCTTCCCCCAAGCTACGACAGTTTGACTTGCTAAATCGAAGTTGAGATTGGAACTGTTCTTGGGGTCAACGCCAACGTTTTCTAATTCTTTGTCCTTCACTTCTGCCAACGTTTTGGAGGTTCTCGACTGTTTCAATGTATTACTGATTGCATCGAAAAATTTTGTTCTTTCTTTTGAGCTCGAGCAACGGTTCTCATCGATAAGTTCATACAGTTCACTTTCGCTCACGTTGTTCTTAGCATCCAAAAGAGCATCGTTGATTATGCCGATAAAGAAGTTCATACAGAGAATGGTCAGAGTGAAGAGAATTAAGAAGGCGAATATTTTGGCGTATATGGTGTTAGCCTGTGCCAATTCATTGATTGGTCTAGCTTTCACTCGACCAAGAGTTAGCTCGAGTTGGAAATAAGCTCCTTTCAGAACTGAAGAGTAGCGCTCAGTTACAGAGCCAAACATCAAGACACCGAAGTGCAAAAATGCCACAAAGAAAATGGATAAAACGATGCTAAAGGATGACAAATATCGTGCAGATATCTTCAATGTTTTGGAGAATAGAACAACATAGTTGTTGAAGCGAATGATCCGCAATAGCTTGATGGTGACGATGAAAGTAAGAATTCCAATTACGACATTTTCCACTTCTTGGCAAGTGATAGCTTCTTGGAAACTTAGATTTTCGTAAATGTTTCTATGCAGTTTGCCCATGGTTGACATGACTTTACTTTGTCGTATTATGTACATCACCACGGCAATCAGAGAGAAGACAATTTGGAATATCTCGATCCAATTCCACATGAGCTTGAAATATCGAAAACGATGATTGTAAAGCCTGAAAATTTCTCTAACAAAATACAGTAAAACAAATACAATGTACAGAAACAAGCAAATAAAATAAAACTGATGCGAGGGTGTTCCCGTAGAATCAAGTGAAAGAACACGAGTTTGCATGGAGGCTGCTATCAGTCCAGATGCATCAACTTCATAGAAGTATGTGGCAACACCTAAAATATTCACCGACGGATTGAATGTCGAAAACTCTGCCAGGACAACTCTCGTTTTTCTGTCAAGCCAACCGTTGTTCTGTAAACTTGTTATTATGCTGAATCCCGTATGGTTATCATAACCGAGGTCTGCTACAAATCCTCCTCCATCATAAAAGGAGAACTGTCCCCACCTGGGTGTAGTGTCGGTTTTCTTGGCATGTTGATATCGCCATGGCTGCGGGCAAAGTAGTAATAACTTGTCATTCCTCGAAGCATTGTCGACAGGCCTCCAGCCAGGTTTGCTGTAGGCGGTCTTGTCTTCGTTCTCTGTAGAGTATCCCTTGAAACATTCTTGGAACGATGTTTCCATATAATTTAGGACTTTGCATTGAGCTGAAAGTTAGAAAACAAATGGTCATAATCAGAAGGTTTGTTTTGGTATCCATTTCACTCAGCGGTTTGTCAAATTTCGTACTTTTAAATAGACATGGACATTTCTGTTATTATCATTCAAAGTAGCATTTGCCTACGGAACAAAGGAACGCCACCATTAAAACCCAAATTTAACTAACGTTCATAAACAAAACCTAGCTATGTAAACACTTCTTTAGACAATTGTTACAATGTTCAGCAGCACTGAAATGCAAAAAAAGTAAGAATGGAAAAAACTTACTCGCTTTCACTCTAAGTTGCCGTACTCGAGCCATTCCGACAAGAAGAGAGTGTTTATTACCAATATAGATTGTTTGCTCTTCGTTTCGACCGTTATACCATCTGCCAGAAAACACTCCCGGGATGAAAACACGCTGTAACCAGTTCCAGTACATTTTATTGTTTGTCACCTGGATTATCAGAAGATCATTGGGTTAAATAAATGAATAAATAAATGAATAAATAAATAAATGGATAAATAAATAAATAAATGAATAAATTGAAATATATATATATATATATATATATATATATATATGTACTTTTAAGTACAGCAGTATAGTATGCATAGATGAGTAGACTCGGTTTGAGTCACACAAACGAGTTAGTATTTATGGGCATGCTGTAGACTATTATTCCCACGTGCTCATTCCCATGGTTTAACACGCGAATTTTAGCAATGGAATTATCGTAATGAAATAATGTCTACTCACCTTGTCAAAGTTTGGTAGTCCATCTCGGATTGATTTCGTCATTAAGTAACGATGGTCATTTCTGTTTCCATAACACACTGCCATAAGCAAGAAAACGAAGACCAAGTATAAACCCAACTCTGTGAAATAACGTGCCAGGTTCTGTTTCTTAACTTGTCGTCTCCTCATCTCTTCCACCTCTGATAATTTCAGTGCCCAAAAATGTTTCTTATGGTACCCAGTTTTAACTTGCTGAGGGCCTTCGCAGGCGTGTACTTTTGATCTCTTCGCCTTTATCTTTAAAATGGCCGCGAATGTTAAAGCTGTGAAGAACACTTTTACTGGTTCCTTGATTGTTACATCCTGTGCGAATGAAATAAGCATCGAAGACAGCCACTGCTCACTGACACTCTTTTCCCAAATTAGACTGTAGAAAATTGAAAACGCAGCCGAAACAGTACAAGAAAAACATAACAAACACCAAGCGACACCAGAGATCAGGGTACCTTTGAGACAATGGTCATTGTTCGTCGCAGACTTTTCAGCTCCTTTCTGAAACAGAAACACTATGACAATGTTTATGGGCGTCACAAGGAGCGCGCTTTCAATTCCAGTCACCACTTGTCTCCACGACATTTTCAGCGGTCCGACTTGGATAGGCTGTTCATATTTGCCTTCTAACTTATAGAACATCGCGTTAGCAAACATGGATGTCAAAAGTACTGAAAGGCAGCAAGAAAGCCGCTGCACTCTTGTAAAGCGGCTTTTTCTTAGCTTGGCTGCCACCGAAATCCAAATGTGCCACTCCGCGAGGCCTCTTTGCCAACGTCTTGCAACTTCATCGCCAAAATCCAGATGATTTGAGGTCTTGTCGATTATTCGCTCGATGCGCCCGTCTCCGCGCTCAAGAGCAAACCACTGATTGGCCATGAATTTCCACGACTGCTTGGATTGTACGTCCCGAATGACAATTTCCTCCAGGTACCACGAGGGATTATCTCCAAAATTATCATGTCCAATCTGTAATTCTTGAATCGAACCAAGTGATTTGTTAACATAAAGTACAAAAACATCTGAATTACCTCGAGAGAATAACGTTTGAACTGCACCAGGCTCTTCTTGGCTAAGCTGAAGAATACCACTCTTTCCTTCAGAACCGTAGATCTCCAAAGCAACATGAGCAGTCGTGCTGGAGTTTTTCCAAGCCCCTGTGGTAATCACTATAACGTATTCATAGGTGCTGCTTGAAGATGATGGAAGTTGGATCGGTAATTCCCTCTAGAAAAACATGATAAACCATGAGTTCTTAACACAGCTAGCTAATTTGTATTCTTAATTCGCCTTTTAGTCCCATTCCAAAAAGAGAAAAAAAAAAACCCGTAAACTTTGTAAACAGTTTAATTTAATTGGCTGTCACTTCACTTTTAAACATTATTTTTTTTCAAGGATATGCTCAACGCAGTTTCAAGTTAAAATTTCAATCTCAAAAAACCTTGAAAACTAATTATGTTGTCAACATTAAAACCTTTTTTATTTAAACCGTTTAACTCCCAGAGATTATCAACATGTAACTTCTCCCAAAAATGTCCGCGCATTATCCAGGTACAAGGTTATGAGAATATTCAAATTTATCAGGGAGAAGTTGTTATCTTGATCTATAAGCAACTTTTCATGACTTTTTTATAAAAACAAATAGATGTATGGCAACCGGAGGGGAGAATTGACGACCAGATCATGAAAGTGAAAGGGTTATACTGGAGAGCATGCTCTGTTAAAACAATGGTCCTAAGCAAAATCTAGTTCGACACTTACATTTTTCGCGTCTTCCTTGTCGAATTTCCTTACGACAACAAGCACAGTCATATAACACAATAAAACCACCGCAATAGCCACGATTACTGCAATATTTCCAGTTTCTGATAACTGCTGAAACTCGACTAGAACCTTGTCGAAGTCAATAGGATTCGGTTCGACTAAGAGACTTCCCCCAAATGATGTCAAATGGCTACAGCTACAGTTTAAAAATCCATTTAATTCTGCTAAAACCTGAAATTATAAAATACAAGGAAGATGTTAACAATAAAAATTATCATTTTGGCTGTCAACACTGATCACACTGTATCTTTTCTGTTTAAAGGCGCTGCTAGGCCCCAGCTGGTTATCAAATCGATTCGACTTTTGTCTAGTCAAAGATTAGCCTGAATTCAATGATAGGCTTAATGAGTTAAGACTACCACAAAACGACTTGCTTTTGCAAACAATACTCGGGAAAGCTCAAATCATCTGAACTTTGTCGAATACAATGTCAAATTATAAAAAAAAAAAAAAAAGATTGTCCTGAAAATCGTCCCTTAACTTTTCACTTACCCGACAGCCAGATGATATCCACTTGTCAAAATTTTCTGACCAGTAAACACAACTACCCAAGGTCACCTTCAGAGTGTAGTTCTGGTCTGTTGTGGAATCATAAACTGGCATCACAGGGACATTTTCACTCTGGGGTGGGGTGGGTGGTGGATCTTTGACTTCGACGCAGGAGCGCTTCCTTCGCCTTCCACCAAGACAAGATCTTTTCTCCCTTTTATGAGATAAGTTCACTGTGGCATTGTAATTTTTTAAGCCGAGAAAGTACTTCCCGGGACGCTCAGCCAGAACTTGTATCGGTGTATTTGGATTCAAGGAGCAAACTGTTTGCCCTTCACTTTTGTTCTGAGCACTTATCATCCAGACACACTTTTTGTCATAAGAGATAGTAGCATTGAAGTCGTAGTTTTGAGTTGTCGGTCGCTGACTAAAACGCATATAGACAAACAGATGTACGGTTGGATCTTGAGGTTTGATTTCCAGCATCAGCAGGGTGTTTTCATACTTGACGTTTATCTCGTGGAAACGTAGATCATCGTTCTTTGTGAAATACCATGACTTTTCTGAAGCAGAGATTTTCTGAAGTTTTAAAGGCGTGACGATAACAATGTCTTCCGTGAGATTTGATACTTTAATAAGCTCGCTATCGTTGTTTTTCAAGAGCAGGGTTACAACATCAGAGCCAACTCGCTCCTTTGTGGCGTCCCAAGTGTAAGGATTGAAAGAAAATGAGAGCATCTAAAAGAAGAATAATTAAGAATTTTGCATGTTCGTTTTTGTGGACTGTTATAATTGAACACGTAAACATGGTACTCCGTCTTACTATTAATCATAAGTTATCATAAGTTGAGATCAAAATAAAACTGAAAATATATTTGAAGAACAACGAAAAATAAATAACATTCATGTTGTCTCTTCGGTCACATGACTCGATTCTTTTTTGCTGCCTAAGTGCCAGAGTTGAACACGTCAAAAGCAAAACAAGAAATGTGATTGCTGGAGGTAATAAGCAACCTTTAAGGTACATAAAGTGCTATTTTAACTTGACTGGTGTCGGTATCTGCAAAAAAAAAAACTTGGATTGAAATTTGCCTGAAGGGCAGAAATACTTACCTGAACATTTACAAAACTTGTTTTGTTTACTCCAGAGAGTAACAATTGGCTTTTAGACGGTAAGATAAACCGGTCTTTTCCTGCTTTTATTTCCAGTCCTGAAAGTCTTTGGAGGCTATATCTTCCGACTGTCATGGATAGTTGTCCTGCCGTGAATGATATCGTTCTTTCATCAGGTACTGTCAAGGCCAACACTGAGTCTGCAAGTTTCTCGAGGGTCTTCATTGAAATCTTCACCAGTAGTTTACCCTGTAGAAATTTCATAAATAACCATATAATGTAAGCAAACTATGGATTTTCGCAAGCTTAAAACAAACATACATACAAACAAACCTTAAAAGGTCCCAAATATGAATGAAGAAGGGAGTAACGGTTAAGTTTACAACAATCATCAATGGACCATTCGCCAATGAATATAGACTAATGCACATTACAGTACCAGTTGTTGAAAACTTGATTTGAAGTTTTCTGATGCAATCACTGCTGCTGCCTTCAACACGCTATTAAGACATGAAGCCAAGTTTCCTGCTGATTGCTTTGTCAGTGGTATGTCTGCTACGTCTTGTTTCTGGGCAAGAGACCATAGTCGTGACGTCATTGAACTGATAACAGACAAGGAGAAATTCTGTGGAGTGCAAATGAATTTAAATGAAGCTAAAAATGCTTGCTTTCAGATTTCTTTCCTATGACCGTCCTAGAGATAATTTGTGGCGAATTAGTTAAAGTATGTACAAAACTATAGGTTGGTTCATTTGATAATGCAATAGTTGCTTGTTTTTATGCTTGTTCATTTCCGTTTTCTTCGTCTTTGCTGTTGTTGTTATTGCTGTTTTTCTTGAGCTTTTCTGGTCAAATAGTTTCACGGTATGAAAACTTGACGTAACCACCAACGCTATTCCAGCCCCAAACAATATTACGTAATTAACTTACCAAAAACTGCTGGGGCACTTTCTCCAGAACCTGAAGAGCAGAGCCGATAACTGATGATTTTTGAAGCAGGTCGAAGACAGTTTTCGCTTCCAAGGGCGAAATTTTATCAAGGATGTCGTTTATCACCTTAAACAACGATATAGATATTAGCTTAAAGTTATTTAAACCAGTAAAGAAATAGGCAACCAGACTGTATCCCCCATGTGAGGCTCGTTTCAAAGATATAGATCTAAAGACATATTTAGACTCAACGTATCAGGTTTCCCTATGGTATTGCCAGTTAAAACCCATCAAATGATTTGCAAGGGCATGATTGATCTTAATGCATCAAATCACCGAAAACGTCTAAGCAGAAAAAAAAGGAATATTTGAACAGGTGGTTATTAATTTCCCGAGTGTTTTTTAATTTCCGGAGTGCAAATTTTACGATTATTTGGCTTAAAAGTCCTTTAAGTAAGACTATTAATCGCAAATGGCATTTCTTGCGATTAATAGTCTGAAAGCGTCTTCTACCACGATTAATAATTGTGGAAACGTACTCTTCTCCAAAGAAAGTTCAAGCTCAACTTTTTTCTGAACGGCCGCCATTACGACCAAAAATTCAGAATTCAGTATTTCTTCGCACGTGGCTTTTAAGGCAATATGTGTCACATATTTGAAGTTTCTCGGGTTCAAGTTCTCAGTGAACTTCATTTTTGTTCAAAAAGTGTGTTTACCAACTAAGTTTTCTTTGTTTTACTCTTCAACGAAGTACAGCGCGGGCTAACGGTGTTGTAAGAAACGCAATTAGCATTTCTTCTCAATGATAATGTACACAAATACGTTAATTTCCGACAGGTTCGATTAAATTGAAGTTTAACCGAGAAAAAAATACAAACAAACAGCCAAGTAAGTCAAAGTACGTCAAATTCTTCCCAATAACAGCTTCTTGTGAAGCTGGACGTAAGTTCACGAGCAAGCGACAGATGAAAACGGCGGCGGTGAAGAGTGCCAAAGGTGGAATATGATAAAATATTTTCATGGTTGGATAACTTGCATCCCCTTGCACTAGTAGTCTTGGATATGTAGAATTGGAAATTGTCAGGCTTAACCCTTTTAAAGAAAAAAGAAGCAACGTGTCACAGATATCCTTTCTCCGTTTTGTTTTGGAGATACGTAATCCAAACAAAAAAAACGCGTCGCATTTAGTTGAGCGAAACAGACAGAGAAATATTTGAGTCGCGGCTAAATTTCTCCACGCTGCCGGACTCTTTCCAAAACTAGTGTGTTTCCGAAGTGGGTTTTTCGAGTGCAATAGGAGTGCAAAAACCTTTTTCGATTTTTTTTGTGAAAACGTATTTCAGACTTTGCAATGTCACGCCGACTCGGTAAGATGTTTATTTGGTGATGGCGTTATTTATTTAACAGCAAAATGTAATCGTTTTTACCCGAAACCGATAGCAGGCAACAACAAAAACGGCTTCTCTTCATTTCTTTCAAAAAATAGCTGCTACACTCTTTCATTCAAAAAATTTCAAACCTGATAAAAACATCTGACGACAGTGCGTGACTGTCGACTCATTTCATCGATGCTTTGTTTTGATACGAATTATTTAGATCTAAGCACATAATGGGTTTTCATGATTTCCGAAACTTCTTTCGTTCGATTAGTATATTCCTGAGAGGTAAACTAAAGTAATGTACAAGAACAAAAATGGGTTCTCATTGAAAGTGTTTCTGATCCGCGGTCAAAATTCAATATGCAGGAATGCGAAGCCTACGTCACGCACCACTCCGATAAAAAAATCTGTTGGGAATATAAATAAAAAGTTTTCTCTCTGTTTCAGCCTAAACATTTTTACAGAGATTTTGAGAGTATTCTTTTATTTATTTGCCATGGCCTATAAAAGAAAACTCTTCGACTTCCTCTTTCCTACCGCGAAAATCGGATTTTCGCGGGAAAAAAACTTTTCAGCTGACAATTGTTTGCGAAGACAAGCTTTATTTTTACGGTCGATTTCGTATTATCATCTGTAACTTTGCACACCGCTTGAAGTGATGTGATTATTATTCCACAGTGCATTTTAGAAACTATCATCCATCGTGGCTCTTTCATTTATTAATTTTTTGTAGCTCTCTCAGTTTCAGATGAGTTTGAGTCTGCAGTTACTGGAAAACAGACCAAGTGGAATTTTCCCTACTAGTTATATCATATAGTTTCGTACCTTTGTTTTACGGTGGTCTGTCATGGAGCGGTTATGAGCACTACAGGTAAATTTCACCAGCAATCTCGCGCAACGCTTCTTCTTCCGATTTTTGTCAAACAAACCCACTTTCAGTTAATAGCCTCAGTAATAACCAGTAATCTGCCAACTGATGAATCGCCAATATCCCATTTCTATGTTTAAATTGTCCTTCATGCACACTTTTACGTCCCTACATTCTCTGCAATCGTTAGTGTGGATGGGAGACCTTGCAGATCGAACACATCGCCAGAACAGAGAGTGTCCATGGTGACCAATCGCAAAGCTTGCTGTCAAAGCTTGACCAATCACAGAAAAGTAAGCAAAACTTTTCAAAGACTAACAAAAATAGTTCTAAAGACATGTAGGGGAAAGTTGGAATTAAATTGTTCAACAGTTCAACCCTTTAAAAAGCCAAAGCTCATTATAACCTAATTAAAATATTCGGCATCGTCTATGGTCAGAATGCTGATCGACACTCACTTCCATACACCAATCCACTACATGTCACGTGGAGTGACTTACGGGTAATAAGCGTGAACGAAGAGTATCGTCCATCGCCTCTCAAACTTTAGACAAGATTTAGGTAGAAAGCAAAATGCACTCTGTGATTGGTCAAGGTTTGACAGCAAGTTTTTCAATTGATCACCATAGAAGCTCTTTCTTCTGGCAATGTGTTCGATCTTTAAGGTGTCTTTACCACATTCATGATTATGGAGACAGTAGGGACGTAAAATTGTGGTCGAAGATAATAGAAATGATGATGGGGATACATGAGTTGACGGATTGCTGATTTTTATCGAGGCGATCGACGGAAAACGGAAGGGGCGTTGCAGATTTAATACGCGGGATAGCTGGTGAAATCTACACCTGGTTGTTCATAAGTACTGCTCCAGAGACTAGTGAAATCAAAGGTACGAAGTTATACAATACTATTAAAGATAAATCTGAACCTAACAGACAATTGTCAGCTGAAAAGCTTTTTAACTTTTTCCCACGAAAACATGATTTTCGCGCGGTTAGGAAAGAGCCAACTTGAAGAGTCAATTTGGTCATTGCGATGAACTGAAAGATTACTCTCAAAATCTCTGTGACTGTTTCTAGTATGTGTAGGCTCAAACTCATCAATTAAAGAAGTTTCCAAAACATGATAACCCATGCGACATGTTGTGCTCTGATCTAAATAATTCGTATCTAAACAATCGTAGCGATGAATTGAGTCGACAGTCACGCACTATTGTCAGATATTTTAATTAATTTTTAACTTTTTTGAATGAAAGAGTATAGCTATTTTTTTTAAAGAAATGAAGGAAAGCCGTTCTTGTTGTTGCCTGCAATCAGTTGCGGGTAAAAAACTATTATACTTTGCCGTTAAATAAATATCGCCATCATAAAACAAACATCTCACCGAATCGGCGTGACATCGCAAACTCTAAAATACGTTTCACAAAAAAATCGCGAATGGTTTTTCCA